CTGGTGAGGGGTCTGGAGAACAAGTCTTATGAGGAGCGGTTGAGGGAACTGGGGTTGTTTAGCCTGGAGAAAAGGAGGCTGAGGGGAGACCTTCTCGCTCTCTACAACTACCTGAAAGGAGGCTGTAGCGAGGTGGTGGTCAGTCTCTTCTCCCAAGTAACAAGCGATAGGACAAGAGGAAATGGCCTCAAGTTGCACCAGGGGAGGTTTAGATTGGACGTGAGGAAAAATTTCTTCACCAAAAGGGTTGTCAAGCACTGGAACAGGCTGCGCAGGGAAGGGGGTGAGTCACCATCCCTGGAGGTATTTAAAAGACGTGTAGATGTGGTGCTTAGGGAAAGGGTTAGTGGTGGACTTGGCAGTGCTAGGTTAATGGTTTGACTTTTATATTCTTAAAGGTGTTTTCCAACCTAAGTGATTCTATGAAACAAACCACACTTTCATTGACTGTAACTTTCGAAGATTAATGACAAGATATTTTCAGTGGAGATCCTCAGCTATGAATATTTCTATACCTGGGAAAGAAGTTTCCTAAATGCCAAGTATATATTATCCTCCCTTCCTTCACCTCCAAACCCCAAAATTTCACGGTTGATTGATACAATTCCGCAAGTAAACCAGTTATGCTATCTATTGTGTGTAGTGCAGCATGCATATTAAAGGGTACATTTCAGTTACATTTCCATGAACAAGCTTTCTGATGCACCAGCTAGATTTCAGTTTCTAATAGGACTAGACACAGGGAAACGTTAAGTGCAAAATCCCAAGGGTCAGTTCTGTATTAGATCCCCACGCCACCATCTGGCATCAAACCTTAGGTGTTCCAGTAGTAGTTAAAAAATTCCTTTATTGTCTTTGTCTTACAATGTCATTGTCTGCTAAAGAAATAATTTTTATGAACATAGGATGGATGTTCTAGCCTTTTATTAACTTTAACACCAGGCAAGCTAAGAGAAGGCTAGGAAGGTTTTATAAGACAGCTGTGACATTTACATCTGCCTTAAGATGGACCAGCAACACGCTGTGCCCCTGGGAGTTTTTAACACCTATAACTAGCCTGCAGGCAAGAGATTATTTTTTCTTCCCCCCACGTTGCAGCATTCCAAAAGTCAGAATTGTTCCAGGTCACAGACAGCCTAATGAGTCTGGATTCACACATTTTAGGGCAGATGAATATTGCTTGCTACTTCACACTGTTAAATATGATCAATTTTACCTTTCTTTTCAGGGCTTAGCAGATACTGGAGCTTTCAAGAGACTGAGCAAGCTTCTCCATCTGAACCTAACTGAATAAAATTTGAGGTTACTTTAAAAGTTCAAATAGACGTGAATGGGATTCCTGTGAAGTTGTTTCATGGTGCTTTTACATAATCAGCTACAAAGTTGCTTCACAGCCTTTAGTAAGTGAGAAATCAGCTGAGCTTTACTGAATTAAAAAGCCAGATCAAACATACTCTGGGGGTGTAAGATGTCCTGAAAGGTAAGTTAAATACATTCAGTTTCTAGGATGATAAGAATTTAAAACAAGTCCCAGTGAGCCAAAAGGGAAAAAAAAAAACCAAAACAAAAAAACAGCATACTTGGTCTGAGCAAAAAGCCTTGGGAAATCTGTGCGTGCAAACCAAAGTGATGTTGTAAGTTGCCATCTCTGTCCACTAACTGCTTCCATCAAACCCTCTTCTCTACAGTCTGAACACACACATACACTCCCTCTGCCCCCAAAAGGCGGTATGGTCATTACCCTGTGGCCTGGTATCACATGGACTTTTGGATACCAAAAAAGCCCCAGCTTTTCATGTCATTATATTCTAGTTTGGTTTGTCAATTGCTGAATAACTGACTTAAAATTACAAATAACTGGGGGGACGAATATCACAAGCCCAGCCTGGTGAAGACACATGAGGATTTTCCATTTGAACTACAAAAAAAAGGCCCTCAAGTAAGACCGAAGACCAACACGGTTTCCCCATTAAAGGAAATCTCAGATTCAGATTTAAAGACCAGGCATGATGGGATGACTGAATCAGAATCCCTCTGCAGGAAGGCACTGGTAGCTTAGCTATCCAAACTGTCATACAAGCTCATAGTTAGCTCTAAATCAGAGGGTCAGGAAAGCTGGCAAGAGGCTAGCAGCCCACCTTTGGCAAGCCATGAGAAACCACAAGCAAGGGCAACTGAGAAGAAATTTTGTGAGATGGTGAAAAGACAGAGTTCACCAGTTCAGCCACGGTACAGCCAGGATACCCACCTCGCATGAACAGTTCTTTCTCAGAAGGAAAAGCTCTGCCTGGGTATGGATGAGGAGCCGACCGAGAGCTTATGGGTCAGGATTAAAGGGAGGGCAGGGACAGGTGACATTACAGTGGGGGTCTGCTACAGGCCACCCGACCAGGAAGACAGAGTGGATGAGGCCCTCTCTAGACAGATAGAAGCAGCCTCACGTCCACAAGCCCTGGTTCTCATGAGGGACTTCAACCATGAGGGACAACACAGCAGGGCATAAGCAATCTGGGAGATTCCTG